TAATATTACGTTCAAACAGTTGTTTAACGGATTATATCGATATCTCAACCATCACTGCCTTTAAAGTGAAGAGACTAATAGGAAGATATTGTGGCGATTATGTGCCTTCGCCTCTATTATCAATGCACCCGCAGATAGAAGTCATTTTTACAACTAATCATGCCATTAATATGAGAGGCTTTTATGGATATTATCACTTCATCGATGAAAGTAAATGCAAATGTTGTCTATTTATATCATATTTGACGCTAAACTATATTCAATGCAATCATTTGAAGGCTTAATCGGACCGCCGGAGTCGAAGCCAATGAATATTGTGGGCTGTGGTGGCAATGAGACCGGAATCGGGGGTATTCTCGTATCGCCCAACTATCCCGGTTTGAGACATATTAATACAATTATTATGCTTTTCAATATAAATTAAATGTTTTTTTGCATCCAATTATAGGTCCATTTCCCCGAACAATAGACTGCGTTTGGCTCATAAGAGTGCAACAGAATCAACACATTTATGTACGAATGGTTGAGCTCCAGCTCTTCGGTAGTATTGGTATGTGTTTTCAATATAATTATTATTATTAATTTAAAGATATTTTTGACACATGTATAGCATATAATTTAAAGTGATAACAAATAATATTTTATTTAACATTAGATCACATTATATGTATTTGATGTGAGAAACTATCTTGTATTGTTTTTTATGTGATCATATAATAATTGTGTACTTCTTATAAAATGTTTGTTTAACTGGGAATTAATGTTTAGACATTGAATGACAAAAAAACATCTAAAATACTTTCATTCAAATTCTTATTCTTGAGTGGAAAAAGAAAGACAAAATAGCAGAAAGAGAGAGAGAGAGAGAGAGAGAGAGAGAGAGATGTGGGAAATTGGTAAAGAAGACGATTGTAATGCTTTGCTGTCAACTCAAAATTAGTTAGGATTAAAAACATTTATCATTTTTTCATTGTAACAAATGATAGCATAAGAAGATGGGAAATGACAGATAGAACTCAGTGTCAGATAAGACTTAAATGAAAGTTTAATTAAAGAATTGAAGAAAACTATGACATTGTTTGAAACAAGAGGTAAAATAATGTTTCAGTCGGTCTCACAAACGAATGGATCGATTCTTACATTTTGCAAAACTCAAGCATTTATTCATTAATTTTTACGGAATATGTTTACATATAACGTTATTTTAATTAAAATTGTATATGAAATTTGCATCGGTATTGCTGTTTGCATATTATTTGTTATTAAATAAATATAATTATTAAACTATATTTTTAATCAATTAATTTAAAAGTGCATAAAAATTGTGAGATTAAAAGAGACACTAATGTATTACTAAAGTAAATTGTATAAAGTTGTATACTTTATTTAATGTACAGCCTATTGCAAAGACGCTCAATTAGCTATATATGATGGCTTCGAGAGTCTGGAGTTTGATCCAAAGAAACCAAAGCAATATTGCGGTGATCTTACATACTATAAGAACGTTGAAGACAAAGTCCTGATGTCAACCAGTAATCGATTATTAATACGGTATGTCTTTTGACACAAAATTTCTTTTAACGGCAAAAACTAATGATAATTGACGTCTGATTCTGTGGCCGAAGATTCAAGAGTGATATAACGTCATCGCATTGGAGCGATCAGGTCTCCAGAAATCCCATCACTGGATTCAAACTCATTTGGACGGCCGTAGAATTTAAATCCTCCGGTATTTGATTTTTTGAACATTTGTAGAAATAATAATAAATTTAATACAATATCTGACTCGTGAGTAAAAAATGGTAAAATTCATATCTCATTACTCGAGAGTTTTTGCCATAAATTTTGTTGATATAAGCGGTCGATGGAAATGTTTTTATATTATTTGCGGCATATTATACTGTGCTTCAGATGATATATAATAGACAGCACTTATGCACAAGTTTTGTACTGTATTTTTAAGAACATTTTTTAAATAAATAAAGTTTGAGTGAGATTTTATAACGCTATCGTTATATTGATTACTATGTGTTATATTTTCAAAAATATACATTTCCACAAACTATACGATGAAACTCTTTATATCAAATGTAGTCTTTTTATACACATCTAATGACTTGTGATGTTATATAATAATTATGCGCTAATGTTTGCAAAGTAATAAATAATAGCGATTACTATTAAGTTATCGCTAGAAAAAAAGTGGAGATATAATTAAAATAAATTTAAGATATTAATAATGTTTTTAAATTGTAACAAAATCTGATAATTAATATGCAAATTATTGAATTGTATGTTTAGGTGAATGCAAAGCCTTTACGTGTACTGGAAGTGAGTTTTGTATGAAACCCCAGAAATTTGGTCGCAATTGTGAAGAATACCACTCATTCTGTATCGATAGTAGTCTTCAATGCAATGGAGTTCCCAATTGTAGTGAACAAGACTTTACAGATGAAGACAAATGTAATTCCCTTTTCTTATTTATTTTGTTGGCTTTTCTTTGGGTACGGATTCTCCAAACAATATAAGTTTCGAAACTAATGACTTTAAATGTGCTTTGAATTAGTTATAGACAACATTCAGTTCATGGCATACAATGAATATTCTTTAATGTTTGAACGTCTTTAATGTTACCCTTATTTTGCTCTTTAATTATTGTTTAGTTGTTTTGAATTGTAGATCGCTTTGAGTATTGAATAAATACCATATAAATGGTCTGAGAATTCAGTTGAAAACTTCAAAGTTATTGATTTAAAAATCCCTTAAGATATTGTCAACTAAAATGGGATTGAGTTATATTTAGTGGCATTTTGTTAGTTAAAAACCTAAAGATTGTTTTCTGAAATGTTTTATTTTATAAAATAAAAACTTGAAAAATATAGAAATATAATCGATATATTTCTTATTTTTTCAATTAGTATCTAAAGTTATTATATTTAATATTTAGGATATATTATTAACGGGATTAAAATCTTGATTTATTAATAATAAAACTTAACGCATATATCACTTAAATAGAACTTTAAATAATATTCATTACCAGAAAATAACGATAAAAATGAATTATTTAGTGAATGATGGGCTAAATTGTTATAAATTATTTCATTTGTGAAATAAAATTTCCTTTATTTTGTTAAATACAAAAAAGGATAAAGTGTTTTATTTATAACCTAACAATTCAATCGTAAAAATGAAAGTTTTCACTCTTTTTAAAAAATTAAATTTCTTACACAATCGACACAAAAGAGTCCCACTTTTCCACGAAGTTATGGCTTAAGTCATGGAATTTTTTGAAAATTCAATTTCATATGTGTTTTGTATAGGTTTTATGCGAAGAACATTAGAAACTATGCTTCCCTTAAATAATTCATTTCATTCTTAATAGCCTTAAGAATAGTTATCCATAAGAAATAAAGTATTTTTATGAATCGATTTTTATACAGAAAATTTCAAATATAATTAAAGTATATCTAAAAATCCTCTGATTATAAGCTTTTTGCATTTATAAGCTCTTCCCATAACTTCATTCCTAGTTGTTTATAGCATTTATAACATATTCTCATTGAATCGATTGATCACAAAAAGTGCATTTTAACACAAAAATAACATAAAGATAAATATTACCACTTTTATATGATATTACAAAGTATGTAAGAATTCTTTGTGTAATATTGATATCTATTACTACATGTATTTGAAATATTTTTTACTTTTATTTTTGTTTGAAATCCATTATTTATTTAGTAGTTTTCCTAAAAGGAAATTCCATAGAAGTATAGCTCATATCTAGCGATAGCCGTGAGAATCAATGTCTACACAATTCTGTATTCCAAATGTTTAGTGAGAAAAATACACTCTATTTATCATTTGATGGATTATTTACTTCATTTCTCTGCAAATATATAGAGAAAACTCATTCAATTTAATCGTTAAACAGTACGATATATTTACTAATCATATTTGAATGAAAATACGCCAAAATTATTTTTATGCAAAATACTGGATATAATTATTTGCATAATGTATACAAATTCAATCCCCTTTTTCAATATTTGTCAATAAAATGTTGGCAAATATTAATTCAATTGTAATATTCTTCAGTGCATATTAGAAGAGCACTCGAGTGGCAAATATAATCAGAATTTTAGGACTGAATTGATTTTCAAACCAAATAAACTNTTTTTCAATATTTGTCAATAAAATGTTGGCAAATATTAATTCAATTGTAATATTCTTCAGTGCATATTAGAAGAGCACTCGAGTGGCAAATATAATCAGAATTTTAGGACTGAATTGATTTTCAAACCAAATAAACTATTATTATATGTTTAGTACACATTTCAATAAATGGGAGATTTATTTTAAACATGCATTTTATAAACGAAAACTTATATGGACGAAAAATACATAAATCAATGGCTGAGCTTTTAGTTTAAAAATTAATGTTAAAAATGAATATTTTTCAACAAACATATTAAGTAAACATTATTTACTGAATACAAAATTCACTAAAAATCTGTTCATTTTGCAGGTAATGTATCCCTATTTGTGGGCGCGAGTACTGGAATAGGACTGACAATAATAGTGATTGTGATCTGCTTTTGCTGTTGTCGTCGGCGAAACATTGAGACCAATACGAGTCGCAAAGACGAGTCGGTAATTGGTTTGAATCGCGAGGAATCGAGTCTGCAGTCGAGACACTCGGAGCTGTCAGAGCAAAGTGCTTACTATGCAATGCGTCCGATCGGCGACTACTATACGCCACAAACCGACGCTCATGTGATCAACTGTTCAGTTCACGGGCCCAGACATGTGCCCGAAGTTTTGACACAAAATCACTCCTCCGGACCGCACCAAAGAGTGGATCTCATAAATAAACTCAATTACATTCCCACTGATGTTTGACATAGTTTTTTAAGACTCAAAAACCGAATCAAACTATAAATATATATTTGAAATGTTTAAAAGCCTAGCTAAAATTTGTCAAACATACCAAACCTCTACAAAAATTAAGTTTTCAACATATATTAATTACCAAAATAGCTCACTACGCTTTCATGATTGTTGTTCTTCAAATTCGAAAGTAAGAAAGATAGAAATGGATACCATTCACTGCATTTTCACTTATTATTTTACGTAACTTTGATTTTGATCATTTTTAAGTATAGTTTAAATTGCGTTCATTCTCGTATACACATGTTATGATACATTCATTGATAGTTTTACACACAAATAACAGTCATGAAAAGATGATAATCTATAAAAGCAATTATTAATTCTGAATTTAGAGATGAACGAAATATACAGAGTTTAGACATAATACAATTACTGACGATTAATTACTATCGTAAGTCGTAAAACACCTAGGTACTAGTATTTAACTTTTGTGATTTAGGTACCAATACTGGTTTTAAATTACATGTACACTTTAAATTTCTACGGCATTTAAAGTTATATTTTGAGAAAAGTTAACATTTGTTATTCATATCTCTATCAAAGGACTCTCTCAACACTCGATTAAATTCAATTAATAATAATTAATAAATTGTATAAAATATTAAATGATTGATTGTTTCTTAAATAAGTTAATTAATGAAAGTTATTTAAATAAGAAGTGCATATAAGATATTTATTTAAAAATTTGTTAGAAAATAATTGAAAATTAATGCAAAATTATCTTTTAAAACATATCTGAATTTCAGAAAAAGTAAATAACATTGTTTTGTATTTATATAATATTGTAATTAAAAGC